CTCAGAAGAAACCAAATCTGCCAACACCTTGTTCTTGGACTTCTAATCTCCAGAACCACAAGAAAATAAACTGTTGTTTCAAGCGCTCGGGCTGTGGTATTTTGTTATGACAGTGGTAGCAGACTAACACTGTCTGCTTAGTGGAAGTCACATAATTAGTTCTAATTACAGCCTTTTTTTGTGGGGAACTACTTTCTTAGGTAGATTGTGGTGGTGAGATAGAAGCCCTGGATGCCAAGAAGAAGGGGTCTCTCTAGAAGCATGTGTAACATTGTGGGTCCCCTTTCTTGTTGTATCAAGGTCCAATGTGACTCATTTATTTGACCATATTGCTTTCCTTTAGCTTTCCTTTAATTTGAGATTCTTATTAATAATACAACTGGGTAGATATATTCATTATTTATTTAACAAATATTTATTGAGTGTGTCTTGTGTGCCAGGCACTGTTGTAGGTATTAGGGATAGTAGTGGATAAAACAGATAAAAAATCCCTGCCCTTATGGAGTTCACCATCTGGTACCACTTGGCTGTTGAATGTTCTAGTTTTCCAATTTGACTTCTTATGGCTAAACTCTCCCTATTCCAATCCACATGTTCATTATCCCCAAATTAACCCTCTTCATGTAGAAAATGTATTATATGACTTTCCTTTACAATAATCTACTCAATTACCTTATAAATAAGGTATTTTATTACCTTATAAATAAATCTTTATTTCTACCTGTGGCATTTGAGTTGCAATGTAGCCCTGAATTGCTTGTTTGAGATCTGCTACAAATCAGGGATTTATACCTCCTCTGGGAAGCACATCTTTTGCTACTTTTTCCTGTAAAATTGACATTTTAGGACATTAAAATACATAAACTCTTTATAGGAATTCAATATACATTCATTTCCTTTCATTTATTTTATCTCATTTTTTTATTAACATGTATTATTAGTTTCAGGGGTACAGGTCTGTGATTCATCAGTCTTATACAATCCACAGCGCTCACCCTAGCACATAGCCTCGCCAGTGTCCATCACCAGCTACCCCATCTGTCCCACACACCTCTATTTCAAATTCCCTCAGTTTGTTTCCTGAGATTGAGTCTCTTATGGTTTGTCTCCCTCTCTGATTTTGTATTGTTTCATTCTTTCCTCTCTTCTTCTATGATCCTCCGCCTGGTTTCTCAAATTCCACATATCAGTGAGATCATATGATAATTGTCTTTTTCTCTGATTGGCTTATTTTGCTTAGCATAATACTCTATGCTCTAGTTCTATCCACATCATTGCAAATGGCAAGATTTCATTTTCTATTGGCTGCATAATATTCCATTGTATGTATATACTACATCTTTTTAATCCATTCATCTGTCGATAGACATCTTGGCTCTTTCCATAGTTTGGTTATTGTGGACATTGCTTCTATAAACATTTGGGTGCATGTGCCCCTTCGAATTGCTTACATTTGCATCTTTGGGGTAAATACCCAGTAGTGTGTTTGCTGGGCTGTAGGGTAGCTCTATTTTCAACTTTTTGAGGAACCTCCATACTGTTTCCAGAGTGGCTACACCAGCTTGCATTCCCACCAACAGTGTAGGAGGGTTCCCCTTTCCCTGTATTCTTGCTAACATCTGTCGTTTTCTGACTTGTTAAGTTTAGCCATTCTGACTGGTGTGAGGTGGTATCTCACTGTGGTTTTCATTTGTATTTCCCTGATGCCAAGTGTTGTTGAGCACTTTTTCATGTGTCTGTTGGCCATTTGGATGTCTTCTTTGCACAAATATCTGTTCATGGCTTCTGCCCATTTCTTGATTGGATTATTTGTTCTTTGGGTGTTGAGTTTGATAAGTTCTTTATAGATTTTGGATACTAGCCCTTTATCTGATATGTCATTTGCAAATATCTTCTCCCATTCTGTCCATTGTCTTTTGGTTTCATTGTTTCCTTTGCTGTACAAAAGCTTTTATCTTGAAGAAGTCCCAATAGTTCATTTTTGCCCTTGTTTCCCTTGCCTTTGGCAATGTGTCTAGGAAGAATTTGCTGCAGCTGAAGTTTCAGAGGTGTTCTTCTCTAGGATTTTTGATGGATTCCTGTCTCACATTTAGGTCTTTCATCCATTTTGAGTCTATTTTTGTGTGTGGTGTAAGGAAATGGTCCAGTCTCATTCTTCTGTACATGGTTGTCCAATTTTCCCAACACCATTAGTTGAAGCTATCACAAAGCTGTAATCATCAAGACAGTATGGTACTGGCACAAAAACAGACACATAGATCAATGGAACAGAATACAGAACCCAGAAAGGGACCCTCAACTCTATGGTGAACTAATCTTCGACAAAGCAAGAAAGAACGTCTAATGGAAAAAAGACAGTGCATTCATTTCCTTTTAAATCATCAGAAGATATTTAGTCATTTCACTCCTGAAAGGTGTGAACCCTTAACTGACCCCGTAACGTGCTAGAAGGGAGAAGGTGCTGACCCCGTAACGTGAGCTCTAATTGCTCAGGTTGAGGGTAGATACAGAGTAAGGGTGGAGGTGGGGAAGGATAGCCTGACTTTTGAGAGGATTTTAGGGTCATTTGGTCCAGTAACAGAAAGGGGCTTCTGGTCACTTTTCATTACTTTTCCTGCTGAAGTCAGCTGATTCCTGAAACAGAAACATGACCGTATATATTTGTTTTTCTCTAGGACAGAAATGTGGATGTTTTTAAGGAAAACAAATTAGTGACCCTTGGTCATATCTTATTTACCCTATCAGTCAGAATCTAGGCAGAAAACCGGACACATTCAAAATGGTTTAATTGAAAAGAATATAATGAAGGACTATTACAGAAGTGTGGGTGTGGTTCAAGGAACTAATAATAGTAGTAAGCCTTTATAACCCTAGACTGGAAGGGGCACTGGAAGAAAATGGTATTATTAGAGCCCATGAGAGCTGTAGTCATGGAAAAGAGGCTTTGGTTATAATCTGAAGGCCAGGGTATGGCCAAAACTTTGGCCTAGTTCAAGGGGGAGAGGAGTGTAATTCATAGGCTAGTATTTCTTTACTCCCTTCTTTTGATCTTATGACAGTGCTTCCCTTTGGTCCAACTCAACAGGAAGCACAAGGCAAGGAGGTCTTGGTGATGTATTCATAAATGTCAGCTCCTAGGGCAGAGCATGGCAGAGAAGTGGAGAGAATGGATTTGGAGAGGGAAACCAAAAATATCTTTTACAAACATTCTCTATGACCATAAATTTAGAAAAAGTCAGTAGAAGGCAAGGAACTTAAAAATCACCATAAAACTACCTTTCTAATATTATCACCTTCCTATTCCAACATTTAACTTACGGAGTGTTCTTTCTGCCTAGTACGACTGGTCAGCAAACTTCTTTGGGAAAGGGTCTAATAGTAAATATTTTAGATTTTGAAACGTAAGAGGCAAAACTGAATGTATACATTATATTGACATAACCACTTAAAATGTAATCATTTAAGCATATAAAATGCAGTCATTAAAATCCAGTGGGCTTGGGGCTCCTGAGTGGCTCAGTCAGTTGAGGGGCAGGATTCTTGCTTTTGGCTCAGATCATGATATCAGGGTGGAGGGATCCAATCCCACTTCAGGATCCATGCTGGGAACCTGCTTGGGATTCCCTCTGCCTCTTCCCACTTCTCTCCTCTCCCTCTCTTAAAAAAAAAAAAAAAGAAAGAAAGAAAGAAAAAAAAATCCCGTGGGCTAGATTTGGCCTATGAGCCATAGTTGTTCACCCTTCGGCCTAGAAAGTCCTAGAAATTCTTCTCCTAAATTTTTGTTAGCCTACATTTTGTTACCCTATTTTTTTAAATGTCCTGTCCAAATAAAACCTCTTCCATGTGGCCTGTTAGACTGAGACTCTTTGAGTTATGAATGGAGGAAAATCCATTTTTACACGCTTGAGAGAGTAAAATTACCAGCTTAAATTTGAGAGGATGTTGGAGGTAGATCCCAGAATCCAGGAGCAGCAGGCATCCCAACTATTCCAGGGACCTGGTTTGCTCTCATATCAGAACATGCCCTCTTTATCTCTCTTTCTCTTATCTTTGCTCTGTCTGCAGTTTGGTTTCATTGTTTACTAGTGAGCACAAAGCTTCCCCATAGAAAACAGAAAGTATCTGTCCCTCTTTAGGCAAGAATCCCAGGGAAGTATACTGCTTGACCTGTATTGGTTGCACACCCATGCTTAGAGGAACAGGTGTTGGTGGTGGTGGGCGCGGTGGTAATAGGGAGGTTCTACGATTGCACACTCTTAGGAGAGGAGCCCACTGCTGAGGACGGAGTCCCAAAGAGAGGGAGAATTCTGTTGCCAGAAGATGCATAAAGGATGTCTATTTTTGGGAGAAGAAAATGTCACAATTATAGTCCAATATGTGATAATGTCTGGAACGTCTGAAACACCCCCAGTACCTAACATCGCATTTGGTAGACAGTCATGCGTTTTTTGATGAATGAATGACTCAGTTCCTCCAGCTGGTTGTGAACGCTCACTTCTCTAAACTGGCCCAGATATCAGCTGTTGTCTAGTTCTGTAGGTTTTATTAGAGGTTTTCCGAGTCCATATATAATCTTTCCACTAATCCCGGGAGGCAAAGAACGCCTGAGAGAGCCAGGCAACAGGGACTCTCAGCCAGGAACCAGGGCACAGAATGCTGTAGACTTCGGTGACAATACCAATCACGTTCTGGGTAACCCATGTGGCCCTTTTGTTGAGGCCTTCAGAACACAAAGGCCCGGCCGACAGACGCGACCCTCCGAGGATAGGGAGGCAGGGCCCGGGGGCGGGAGCACAGGGGGGCCTCAGCCTCTGGGGCGTCGCGCGGCACAAAGGAGACAGCAGGGAGGCGGCCGCGGGCGCGGATCTTCGCTCACCAACCACTCGCAGTTGCGGTTACAGACCTGCAGCTCCCCTCCCCCTCCCCACCCAGGCCCGCCCGCCTGCCCGCCTGCCCGCCCGCCTTTCTGTCTCCTCTCTCCCTCCGTACTGGACGGCCCGGGTCCATTTCCGGGCTCCGGATATTTGGTATCGGTCGGGGCCCGGGGCGCGGGAGCAGGTGGCTGCGGCGGGGTGGCTGGGCAGCCAGCCTGGGGCGCTGGGCCGGGTCTCCGGTCGCCTTTGTCGCCAGCCCTTCCGCGGAGGTCGCTCCTCCCCCCGGTCGGCGCGCTGCCGGCCGGACTTTGCGCCGCGTCGGGCGCTGCCGCTGCGCGCGGGGCCGCGCTTGTGGCCAGCGGCGGCAAGGTAGAGGGCTGGGAAGAGGGCGGCGAGGGCCGGCCAGGACCCCGGCCCAACATGGCTGAAGTCACCATCGACCAGTCCAAGCTGCCGGGAGTCAAGGAAGGTAGGGGCCGGGGCGCGAGGCGCGCGGGGCCCCTCCCCTCTCCCAGCCTGGCTCTCTCCGCGCGGGGACGTCGTCCTTTTGGCCCCCGAGGCCCTCGCGCGGGCGCCTCCGGTGCCCTGGCGCCCTGGTCGGGGACAGAATTGACTTGAGGCTCTACTGTGGTACCTTGGGCGAGTCACTACTTAATGAGCCCGGTTTCTTCCCCTGAGGAAGTGGGGGGAGAGAGGACAGCACCACCCTCAGCAAGTGGTTGTGCAGAATGTTTTACCGAAGAGCAAAGCGTTGGTGAACGCTCGAGAGCTCGGTAAATCTGACTTATTTGTGTCCTTAAAAATCAAGGCCCAGCCTAGCTGGCTTGAAGGCTAGAAAGTGGGGAGGGGTTGACATTCAGTTCCTTGTGGAGCCTTTGTTTTGAAACTTGACTCTTTCCCTCCTTCTCTCCACTTTTCCTAGCCCAGCGGCTGGCTGGCTGACTTTCCCACCTCCCTCAAGGTTTAAAAGTTTAGTCTTGGCACTGCCCAGCGCGGGCAGGCTGATGGGAAGTTGCTATAAGCATTTTTTCTTAGGAAAAGCAGGGGCAAGGGGGAACAGGGGACTGACTGGTGACCTTGATTTTTAACGGCTCTTTATTCTGATGTCCTGGGAAATTATGGTTGATTAGTACTGGTCTGGTTTAGCCACTGGCAAGTAGCCTTTTGACTTCCCTCCTCTGCTCTTGATTGTCTGCTCCAGGATCTAGCATTTTTTGTTGAAATTTTGGGTGCTGGATCACCTTAACCTTTAGTTATCTTTGGCTCTTCTCTGGCCCCGGAAGTGTGGAAATCACAGAGTGCTCTCCAGGCTTGCAAAGGTTGTCTTTGTTGTGAATGTCAATTGTTTCAGCTGAACAATGTGGCCTGGGGTGTCCTGGAAATGTGGAATTGAAAATAAGAATTTTTGCTTTCTTGGAACTGCATGTTTCAGTGACAACTTGATTTGACTCTGATGGTCTTGTGGGTGTTCAGGCCCACCCCAAAATACCAAGTCGACTTCACTGCTTTCTTTCCCAGAATTCAGAACACTAGGAGATAGAGTCACTGGTTTTACGTAGAATTTTTAATGGGGCCAGGCTTGCCCTATTGTTCCTGAAGGGTCTGAGAGCTTAGGCCTGAGATCTTTCAACCTTTCAATTTCCAGCAAGGCTTTGGTGACTATTCAGGTATTCACATGTAAATGTAGTTTTCACAGCAGTGTCAAGTCTGGTGCTTGAGTGGGAGGAAAGGCAGATTACACTTTGAAAGTACTAGTCTCTGAGATTGTCTGGTTGTACTTAGCCTTTTGGGTAGGAGTTTTATGGACAGGTATCAGTGTGTTGGATATCTCTAAAGAAAAAGTGACCCTATGTAATGTGTTGTACTTTTTTGGGGGTGGATGATGAGTAGAGTGAACACTGGAGTCTAACAGGTTAAGTATTAATCATTGTAGTGCTGTGATTTTACCCAGCCCCCTGTACCTGTTTGTGACCTGGAACAAACTTGAAACTCACTTTTTGAATATGCATTTGTATGACTCTTAGGTCCTCTGGTTTCTAACCAAAACATGAATGATGAATGATTTATTCTAGTACATTCTTTCTCAAGGGATTCTAAAAAACACTTTCCATCTAAAAATGCAAGATGTTTCTATTCCTAAGCTCTGGAATCTTAGCACATTCAAATTGGCTTCCACTTTGCATAATGTGGTGTTTGATGATCCAGTTTGCGTGATATGGTAAAGTGGGAAGGAAATTTGGTGTGGCTCTTTCATTAAGTTAGAATTAAATACTGATTGATTTCGAAGGTGGTCAAAAATTGTAGAGATCATTGTCTTTGTAAGCATCTGACTTTTCTGGTTCCAGGATCCTCAAAGGAAATGCTGTATTAGGCTAGGAACCTCCTAATGGGTGTAGTTTTTGACCTGGGACTCATTCAAATCTAATAAAGGGTATCTTTCTGTAATATAACTCTTAATTATGGCCCAGTAATTCCCTAACAATGTCTTTGAACCCTGATTTAAAGAGAATAAAGCTGGTACCCATGTTTTGGTAAAATATACACATTGAGACTGTTCTCAATACTGAAACTCCAACTCAGTTTGTAAAGGAAGTTTAGTGGTAAATTGCTTAATATCCTGGCATAGATTTTTAAGCTGTTTTTAAAATCCGTCTCCTCCACTTCTCTTTTCAATCTAAACTTTGGTAGATTCATATACAATTACGATTTGGGGTCATAGGGTGGATTCCAATAGAGATTAAGAATAATGCAATGGATGTCTGTGGCTTCACACTGCCTTTTCTTTGGGAGGGGTTGGGGAGCCCTGTGACCTTTGTTGTGAACATCTCAACAGAGGTCATGGGTAACAGCTGACATCAGGGAATATTTTAAAATTTTCTGTTCTATGTTAAAATCCAGTGCTTGCTTACTTTTAAGGTGGTTGAAGATTTCATCATTTGGACAGACCTTTAAAAAAAAAGAAAATTACAGTAGTATTTTTACCTTAGGAAATCTCTTAAAGTAGGAGACAAAGGGACACATTTGAATTCCTATGTAGATGAAAGGAATTAAGTCTAGCTAAATGTCAACACACATCATTATTTCTGGTTTAAAAGCGTATTTGGAACACACATACTTTTTGTAATGCAATTACTGTTGCCAATGTTTAGGAATAGTCCTTTATTTCTCCTGAAACATTGGAGCTTCTACCCAACAAGATTTGAAATAATTCCAGCCATTGTTTTCTTAAATCAGTAGATGTATAATTCAAATGCATCATGCAATTTGCGAATGTTAGACAAAGGTATAGTCAGGTTCCAACAGTATTCTTTAAGTTTCTTAGTTTAGATCGGAGCTGGAATATATTTTTCTAAAAAATGAATGCTTTTCGTCAGTTGACAGACTTAGGTTTTTGGTCAGTTTTGGCTTCTTTCCCGAATTTGCTTTCTGACACAATAGTCCAGACCCCTCACTTTCCTATTTGCCCCCTCCACTTAGATTCCCATATCGCTACTTAATTGGAGTGGCTCACTTATCATCATAGTCTTGCTCCTTCTGTCTAACAGAGTTTTAACTCTTAAAATGTTGATCTAAAAACTAATATTAGCCTGTCCATCAAAGCCATTTCTAGACTCTTAAACTTTTACCAACTCCTTTGTAATTTTATAGGCGTTTGAGTTTTCCCATTTATAGCCATTTAGCACAACACACCAGTTGCTACTGCCAGCCTTCTTATTTCTTCTCTTACAGTAGTAAGAAATGCATTATGTATTATGTGTTTGTACTACTCTTCAGATGGAAAGTTCCACCATCTCCAGAGTTGGTTAACTCTGTGTGTGTGTGTGCGTGTCTGAAATCAATATACCTAGTGACTTATTTCTTGAAGTAAAAGCAGCTAGCTATTCTGAAAAAATCTTTTCCTTTCTGAAAGATAAAGTTTAATACATTTTCAGAAATATGTCTCAAAAGCACTGATTCATTTTAGGTTCAGGACACCCCAGTGGTATAATGAGGTAAATTAAATTAATGGCACACATCCAGAATTTTAAGGGGAAAGATACAAAATTAGGGCTGGTGCAGTAAATTAAGCAAGTTTTCCCAGAGATCTAAAGCGTATCACGTGCACGCTAGGCATGTAATGTGAAGGCAGTATTTGTGAGACATACAGCATCTGGCTCCAGGGCAAACTCATTTTCTCTCTTCTTCAGAATTATACAGTAGGTTTTTGTTGTTGTTGTTGTTGCTGTTTTTTAAGGAGACAATGGCTGAATCTACCTGAGTTGGGAGATTTGTATCTTATTTATCTTTCTTTACCCTCATCTGGCTTCAGGTCTTTCACATAGCCAGAAAATATTCAGCAAATATTTGCATATGTGAATGAATGAATGAATGAATGTATTATTAAATGCTCCCTGTTGGTTCAGGAATCATACCTCTGGTGTAGTATATTATTATTATATATTAAAAATAATATATTTCTTTTCAGAGTCTAGGCTCTTAAAGGGCAGGGTTAATGCCTTTTATCCATAGGGATTACAGATCACAGTGCCAGAATTAAATTTATTAAAGAAATACGTATTTATTTATTTATTTTTTGTATAAAAACTTCTAATTTTTTTTTCCCTAATGTTTATTTTCTCATAATGTTTATTTTCTCATTGGATGAGTAAACAGATTCAATTTCTCATAGGTGAATCTTAAAAATAGATTTTATCCTATGTAGATATGTATAACAAAAAGTGAAAAGAAAAAAAAGAAAGAATTCTATGCTCTTCTTCTGTCCTTGGAGGTAATCATTATTAAGAATAAAATTTTAGTGAAAACATCTAACAAATGCTCTTTTGTGGTTTTGATTTTTCTTTGAGTAATAGGTTTAAAGCACTTATCTCACAATTTGGAAGTTGGAAAGAATCTTAGATACGTATTTTTTAAAAAAGTGTTTATATCTACTGTGTGCCACCTGTTATGCAAGGGTAGTTTCACAATAAAGCATGCCCTGTGGCGCATGGACATGATCTTCACTGTAGTGGAGAGGCAGTTGTGTAGAGTTCAAGGAGTTGCTGTAAAGAACCCTCTAAATTTATACTGCACCCCAAGTGCCTCTCACATAAAGGAAAAAGGAAAACTCTTCCAGTTTGTTGCTATGTACAAGGATGAAATACTTTCTTGTTTGAATTAATTTTTAAAAATGGATATAGCTATCATTTGTAAATTACGATTTTTTAATAAACTATTTTAAGTCATTGAATTTTTTTTAACTAATAGATACCTAAAGAACAACTTCCTCCATGTGTGAAACTGTCAAGTTAATTGATATTTAATCAAAGGATCTCAGAGTAGAAAGCATTAAAAACCACTAATCCCAACCAACCTCTTCATTTTCCAGAGGAAAGTCTTAGGGATAGAATGGGGAAGTGAGTGTACTGAACTGCTGAGGTTAAGTAGCTAGGAATTAGCACATTGGGGCTAGAATTAGAAACATTTAAAGCT